TTCGTTCTCATTTTATTATTTTATTTTAAACCATTTTTTAATGTAATTTTTATAATTAAGCATAGTAAAACTTTTTTACAAACAAAAAAATCAAAAAAGTAAGTCCATATTTTTAAATTATAGGTAACAGACTGTTTTCATACCAATTTTTAATAAAAGTTTATTTTGAAATTATTGAGGAGATAGAATTTGAATTTTGTCCATTTTTTATTAATAAAACTATATCAAAAAATTTTTTCTTAAAGATCTGCATAAATTTCTGAAAAAATCTGTATATATTATTTTTCATATATGACCACATATAATTTTGATTTACATATTTGACCGACCACCCCAATGTTACATCTGCACATTCCGCACATACAACTGACTTGGATTAAATTTAGCGCAATGATTTACCAAATCAAAATAAAAGAGTTGTTGTATTGATTTTTCCACAAAGAATACACACTGCCAAGACTGGTTTTCGTGAAAGATGTAAAAAAACGTTTTTACTAATTGGTTAACAATCTAAACTAATCCAATTATTTATAATTAAAAAACTTGTTCTTACGGTAATCTATTAACAATCTAATGAAATAAATATATATACGTCTGCATTAGGTAAAATCAAAATGTTATTGTAATTTAAAATGACAATTTCTGCTTTATATATATATATATATATATATACCCGTAATTATATGGTGTGGGGTGCCATATTATATAAAAATTACTTTACCTAATTTGTGGATATAACTTTGAATAAAAAAGCTTCTGCCATACCTAAAATAGTCATACTACTTATTGAACAAAAACTTTACCAAAATCAGGTTCTAAACTAAACTAAACAAATTCTACAGAAGTTTGTAAAATTTGTAACAATTTTACGTTACTTTACACTTTATATATTAAAAAAAAAGTAACAGACATTTATTTAATTGAAACATAAAGAAAGTTTATTCAATTTGAGTTGATCTATATACAAGGAATCAATGGAATTAAAATTCCGGTTTTTTTTTGCATTAATAACATATGATCTTTTAGAATCATTGAAATTATTTTTTTTTTAGCTTTTAGAATTTCTATCACAATAACAAACAGTTATGTTATGCGTGAAAATCAAATTTTTGAGATGTTGTATGTGGAATTGAAATTGCGAAATTGATTGAAATTTCGTTGTAAATGTACAAATTTAGAAAAAATTAAATATTTGATTGGTGTGTAATGTTACACCTGGGCGATACATGTGGGCAGCGTAAAGGAGTTAAAAACCTAATTTAGTAACAATCATCTTGACTAAATAGTTTAGTCAGTTTAGCCAAGTACTCATTTGAGTTACGCAGCCAGCGATAGCAAATTATCTATGTTTTTAAACTTTTGATTTAATTCTATGGGATGAATGACAAATTACGTTCCACTTACTCCGCCTGAATTTTATACACTGAATATAAATATGTCCTTTTTTCCCTCCTTTCTCTTTTTTTATTAAAGGAATAAGAAAATGTTGGGCGACTTGGTCAAAAAACCACGGAAAACTGAGCCAAAATTGATCTCATGTTTTCGATATTTTGTTCTTGGTACATCAACTCTAGCGTTATTGCTTTTCGCTATATTGTTGTTGATGAAGTTGGGCGATGAAGTGCCAATCATTACTATCACATCTAAATTAGTTTCTAATCTACCCGCACCAGGTAAAATAATTCGAGTTAAAAAAATAAATAACCAAAATCAAATGATATTGTTTTCTAATATCAAAACCACAATCAATGCAGTCATCTATCTCAGTTTTGAGAATAATTTTACCGTAGATTGTACCTCTGAAAATGGATCAAGTAAGTTTCATGATAATTGTTTTATTATTACTGTTACTATTTCACAATATCTATCTATCTGACTCAAAATGTTCAAAATCAGGCTGCAATAAATATGTTACACGAACAAAAGTACCAGAAGATTATGTTGACATCCATCGTCCTTACGTTTGGGCAGTTAAACCAAATGGCAACTTACTTTTGACCACTGGTTCAATGCAACTTGATATAACCACGAATTCCAGCTCTGATATAGGCATGACAATGAATGTATTTGATTCAGGCAAGTTTTTTTCATAAAATTCATTGCAGGCATTAATTGTTTTTTGCTGCTTTGACAAGAATATGTCAATAAATAAATAGAGCTTGATCCATGGAGCAATGATTATAATGCTTCGGTGAATAATCGATTTATCTCAACATTGGAATATAGGAATTTATATTATTTAGCAAATGGAACTGTATGTATTTGATATCATTATTTTAAAAAGGGGGGGATAAACAAACTTGTAATTTTACAATATACCACGTTATTATTTAAAAATCAATAGTTTTACGAATTTGTATACTCTAAAAAAGTCAGAAAAATGATAAATGATCCAGTTTTAAGTTACATTGGTTTCCGGCCAAGTTACACTTCACTAAACTATCTTGAATCGCAAATACGTAAGAATATTTGTTTTTAGAAGCTTTATTGCATATTTTATCATCGTATGTGTATTTTTAACCCGGATTTTATTTGTGGTGCTAACTAATAACCACAGAGATAGCCGATACGAACGATATATATTCATCGGTAGAAATTAGTGTAAATAAATTCGTTGTAGATGAGGAAACTGAACAAAGGTAAAAACGATATTAAAAGATATACTTTGCCAATGTTTTATTGTGTCCTTGTTAACACATTTGTATGCACAATTTTACAAATAATAATAATAATAATAATAATCATAGGGTCAATACTGTAAGTAATATTTAAGGATTCGTTTTTTTGAAAAATTTGCCATACACAAATAGTAATAGTAATATAGTAATCAATCATTCGGATAAACAGGTAGTATCCATACTTGGAACTATTGGTGGTTATTACGGTATCATTGGGGCTTTTTATATATTTTTGTTTGGTAAGTTTGGCCTTTTTTTCTTTTTTTTTTTTTTTTTGAGTTGAATCATTGTGTTTTATAATTTTCAAAAAATCCTTAGGTGCTGATTCAATTAGTCCATGGGGTTTTGCGCACAAGGGATGCGGAATATCCAAAAGGCTCAAAAAGAAAACCAAAGATAAACTCAAAAAGAAAACAGAAGAAGAACTCAAAAAGAAAACAGAAGAAGAACTCAAAAAGAATAAAGATCACACATTGATTACAATAGATGACACAAATGATCATTCAAAAAGACTTCAAGATTTGGAAGCTTTTCGAATCCTCATTGAAAAAAATTTTATTGACGCTTCATTAATAAAACCCATCGAAAAAGAGCAAAAAAAGAAGTAGCAAGATAACTAATAGCTGCAGATGAATCACTAACAAGATTTTTTATTCTTTATTATTCATAATTGTTTTAAACTTTAACTGTGAAAAATAAAAATAAACAACGTCATTATTTTTTTCTTTGTTCAAAGCACTTTGATAAAGCAAAAGTATAGTACTTGGTGCCTTGGTAAAAGGTAACAATTGTGGAACTTTTGTAAAAAGCCACGTTTATTTGCTTTAATGAGCAAGCGAGGTTAGGACTAACGTTGGTTAACTGGTAACGTAATTTGCTTTAATGAGTAAGGACTAACGTTGGTTAACTAGTGAATGTTAATGAAGTATCATCCAAAGATTAATTGTTGATTAATTCATTTCTGTAACAAACATTTTTACATATCCATTCTTTTGTTTAATAAAACTATTTTTGTAATCGGAAATTAAAACAGTGGAGTTTAATTGTTTATTTGGTTATCAGAGTGGTATAAAATTAGAGTTTCTATTCGTAATACAGATTCTTATTCGAACAAACTCTCAATGTAATTTATAAGGAATAACAAATAAAACAAATAATTCGAATAAACCTTATTCGAATAGAAACTCTATATTGAACTCTGAGATTTTGTAACTCGGTTTTGGTTATTTCTTTGGTAGAAAGCAAAGGTTTAATTTTTAGCTTTTATTAAATGTAAACGTTTCTGTTTTTGTGTAAACTTAAGTTGTTAAGATTGTTCGGCCAGATATAAATTGCCGACATTTATTAACCAAAGTCATTATCACTTTGTTGTATTGTATTAAAGTATTTTGCAAACGTACAGCCGAATTTAATCAGCCAAAGAAAAGTAAAGTTTGTTGTTAATTGTATCATAAAGGCGTGCTTACTGATTCGCCGAAGCTTTCTAGGTACAAGAAAGAGGCATAAAAACAAGTTAATTGATGAGCATTGAATATAAAATCTTGCGATTAATCGGCGAGTGTAGCTCAAAAGTTAATTCAAACTCGGCCATACATACTTTGGAAGTTATGTGATCATTTTTTTTTTCAAACTTCTTTAGGATTGATTACATATATTGATTTAACAAATCAATTTGGGCTTGCATGTATACTTAATAACGACCAAAAGATAATTTCCACATTATATCTTTAACCATTCAATTGAAATTATCATCTATTTCTTTTCTTTGTCGTGCTTATAGAGTGATAATCTATGTAAACATATAAAAGCATCATGTTAATTTTGTCAAATATCAAAAATTGAAATATATGAATAAAGTTACTTTTTTATTTTTTTCATTTTCTTCACCGTCTTCGAATTCTTTAAAGTTTTCTTTACCACTATCCACTCTTTTGGCTCTTGAATTAGGCTTCAGTATTAAATTACATATTGGTTTTTTAATTTTTGGTCATTATTTTAAAAGCAAAATTTCAATGAAACAGGCTCAAAATAAACTTGTTGTTACTCTATTTTCTGAGGTAGATAATGATGTTTTTCTAATACAATAATAGTAACGAGATTGACAATGAGTTGCAATGACCGCAATCATTACCACACTCCAAGTCATGCATGCGTCAAAATTATGTATAGAAACAAATTAATCATGATTTAATCAAAATAAATAAAAAAATGACATCCGGGCAAGAAGAGAATGAGTTATGATGATACGAAGAAGAAATTGGAAGAGTTGGAGCAAGATAAGAATGATTGGAAGGAGGATGTGTTTTTTCAATGACTTCTTAATCACTTATTATCACTACCAATCAATCAATTAATTGTTATTATTATTATTACATTTATATATACACAATAAAATAAATGATTAACGTGTCAACTATGTGTTAATGTGTTGCCCAAAAGTGTTGATCTTTTATAATTATCAATTACAAAAAATCCTTGTAAAGTCAAAAAAATAAATCTTTACTAATGAGCCCAGAAAAAAAGGTGGTATGTTAGTTTTATTAGACTCTATAAAATAGCCTATTATACATGCTCTACGTGTTCTACCTATTCTTTGCGGAAAATACATCAAGTTTTCTTTTTAAACGCAAATGAAAGAGATATATTCCTGTGTTTTTACTTGTATCTTATAAAGACAATTAATTCATTATTAAAATTAAACATATTTATGAAAGTGCAGGAAAATGTTTTCAATTAATAATAAATGGTAACTTTTGCTAACGGAAGAAAAAGGAAAACGTTGTAGCAAATATAGAATTACCAAATAATAATTATTGAATTTATAACCCTTGTATATATTATTTATGTGAAAAATTGATCGTCACTGTTCATTACCTTTAAAAGGACCAATCCTGATTGGCTAATTTTCGACACTCGATCCCTGCTATTTCGTTGCCAGTATTAGTATTAGTATAAAAAAAATGCCGAAACTTTTCGCAAATCGGGATTTTTAGTTTCGTCCACAAAGTATTAATAATGATCACTTTGTCACATTACGCCCGCCTCACTTAATATGATGACACAGGAAGTTTATATAATAGATTTGGTTGTTTGTCCTCGTGCAATTTTTTTCGCTACTAGTTTAAAAAAAGTATAAATGACATCATAAATAAAAAAATATTAATTATTTAAACCTCCAAAATTTTTTTTCTTCAACTCAAATTAAAACAATCAAAATATTATTAAAAAAAATAATAATAAATTCAAAATAATTAAAAAATCAATAAAATATGGCTATTTCTCAAGTCGATACAAAAATTATCTTTAAATCAAATGATAACCACGAAGAATTTTTTGTATTTGGAAATCCTGATTTGGTTTGTAATTAATTATTTTTACAAAAAAAATAGTCATTATTAATAAAACTATCATCATTATTAAATTTCTTCTTTCTGATTATTGATGGATCATCTTTAGGTGCTAAAATGGCGTAAAGATAAGACAATTCCATTGGTAGATGTTGTTCAAAGTAATAAATCAATCAAGCAATCAAAAAAATAAATTTTCCCTGATAAATAAATAAATAAATATTTATTCATTAACTTATTCTCAAAAAATAATATATTGTTAGGTTTCGATGTTTATGAAATTGTTAATGGTGGTAATCAAGGTATTGCTGGTAGACCTTCGAAACAAAGACTGGAGAATACTTTTGGTACATCAGATACTACACAAGTGATCACCCATATACTTCAACATGGAAATGTTCATAATAGTCATAAATCTAATTCTAAGGATCATCGAGGTAATTATCATTTCATTATTATTATTATAATAACTATAATAATTATTTTATTGACTATTATTTTGTTTTCTTTTTCATAAATATTTAGCTGCTATTAACGAGACGCGCGGTAAAGGAATTTCTACTAGTGAGAATGCAACAGGAGTTCATAATTAATGCAATAGATGATTTGAATGAATTGGATGAATTGGAATGAATTAATTAATGAACTTTTATTTTATTTTAATTTTTGCAAATAAATAAACAAAACAATAATTTTTAATTTTTAATTTTTAATTAATTATTAACGTTAGCCAGATATTATTTATTTATTACCAAATATTTATTGTCACTATGATGAGATACTGCAACATTGATCAGAGAGTCCCAAACCAATATATATGTATGTATGTATGTATGTATGTATGTATGTATAAAAGCAAAAAAAAATCATACCAATTTCGAAAGTATTTTTGTATTTATGATATTGGATGATGAAAAACACCACAATTTATCTCCATTTACACAGACTTTCTAACAATAGTTAATTAATTTTAGTTATTTGAAATGACGATATCTACTATCACCGTTATCGTCACTATTACCACTACCACAACCATATCATTTTTTTCAGTTTAATATTTGTGAAATTGATAATGATGAGAATGCAATTGTGTGGCTGACAAATTTGTATAAATTCGATAAAAAGAAACAGACGCATTTTTCAATATAAGTTGTAAAAATGTATATATATATACTAATAGAGTCAAGTTGGTGTGAGTGAAAATTCATAGACGCTTATTAATTTTTTTCAAGTTAATAATATTTTGTTTATTATAAATAAATTTGTTTTTGATTTTTGTGATTTTTGATTTTTATTAGCAATATTAACATAGTCTTGCTAAGCTACATTTCCACAAATCTGAACAAATTTCAACGTTTGTCCATTGCTTTCTATCTTCAACATTTGGACTTAACTCATCACTATTAATTTCTCGGATGTTATCATTCTCATTATCATTTTCATTCTCGTTCACATTTTCATTGTCACTTTCATTTTCTCCCCATTCCAAATTTGTTCTACTATTATTACTTCTACTTCCACCATTATAATAGTCAAAATAATCATTGTCATATAATACCCAAATAACGTTATCGACAAAACTTCTAACCAATCCCACAACATCTTCATTATTTAATCCACTTTCAATATGAACACTTGCCTTAATATGTCTAATAATGTGTACTTTACCTTCTTCAGTTTCACAGAAAATAACTTTACGTTTATCAATAACTTTTGTACTAAACAAATTTTCATTGCTTAACAAAGAAATTATTTGATGTTTCTCTTGTTCGTTAGATATTGGACATACTAAATAAACATCATATCTTTTACATATTAATTGAAGAAATGATACAGCATTTTCCAGAAACACATATACTGATGTATTTGTATCTGATGTTGAAGATGATGACGACGGCAAAGATGTTGATGTTGATAATAACTTTTTTAATAAAGTCTAATGTTTTTTTTTTTTTTAAAAAAAAATAAAAAAAAATTAAAGTTTTTTCTTTTAAAAAAACCCCCCTTCTCCTTTATAATCATCATCATCACATACATTTTTCATTGAGATTGATAATCGATGTTTTCTGATAGGAGTTGTTCCAAATAATCTGGCAGCAAGCCCCCTTTGATCTCTTTCTTGGTTAAAGTCTGTATGACGTGGGTGATGAGTGTTGCGTCTTCGATTCTATAAATGAATCAGTCGAGTCATTTTTTTGGTTGGTTAGGGAAGTATGTGCATAACAAACAAAACAATAATATTTAATTTATAGTTGCTATTGGTGATGATAATAGTAACAATGTAATATCATATTATTTATTATTACGTTTTGAGTATTTTCTTCGCTATTGTCATCATCTCTTCTCCTACGTCTGTTTTGCAATTTGTGGTATAAATAATAGGCAAAAAAACCAACAGCTGCTACAGTTAATGTCGAGTATGTTACAACTGCAGAATTTGGTTTGTTTTGTGTGATAGAAGATCTTGATACCATAATTTATTTTTGTTTGATAAAAAGAAATAATAATATTAAAAATAAATATGTCTGTTACACCAAGATCTACATTTGCGTATATAATAATAAGTGTATATCTTTTTTTTTTTCATATAAAAATTATAAAAAAAAATGCCAGTTGGTTTAATCCCGGAAATTGTAGACAATATTCTTCAAAACATTGGAAACGATGTTAGCGTTTTAAAAAATGTAATATTGGTAAATCGTTCTTGGTGTAAACTTGGTATAAAATATTTATGGAGAGCACCATTTTCATTAGAAGAACCTAGTAGACAAAAATCACATACAAAAATCATTCCAATATATCTTTCATTCCTTGATCAAGATTCAATTAATTACCTAAGAGAGAATAATATATTAGTATTAATCGAACAGAATAAACAAAATCAACAACAGCAATATCAACAACAACAACAACAACAACAACAACATCGTTTATTCGATTATCCATATTTTCTACAATCTTTAAACATGATACAATTCTGTGAAGTCATAGGAAATTACTATATATTAGAGAAAAACGAACGCATAACTTATAGGAGCAAAAACAAATATAAATTAAAAATTGATTGTTTAGTTGGAGAAATTTTAAAACTTTTATTAAAAAAATCAAACAAAATCACACATTTAATTATTAAAACAGTTTCATTTAATGGAAATACACCAAGATTTTTTAATATTTTAAGTAATTTAAAAGATTATCCTAATTCAATAGAAGCAATTTCTAATCTTAAATCTTTTGAATATAAGGTTTTAGATGTTAATGAATTATTATTGTTTAAATTATCTGAATATTGTCACAACATTGAAAAAATATCCATTAATAATTACACGTGGGATTTAAATCAAACAGGAATAAATCAATTAATCAAAAACACTCAAAGATTAATCAAAAATCAACGTAATTTAGAAAATCTTAGTATATATGGCATAGAAAGTGACATTTCACCTATAATAAGAGCACTTGAATCTCAATCACATTCATTGGTTGAATTAACATTATCAGAGTTTAAACTAATCGATATTTCATCATTAAGGTCACTTGCAAAATGTACAAATTTAGTTTCATTAGAAATTTCATTTTATTTATACACAAATAACAGTGATTTTTTTAAAAATTTCATTAAAAACTTCACAAGTATCAAGTTTCCTTTATTGAAATATTTGAAATTGAATATTTTTAATTCAATTCCAATCGTAGAAGATTTAGAATTATTTTTCAAATTAAATGGTTCCCAACTAGAAGAACTTAGATTAACAATTAATTTCAATGATAATCCAGGTATTCTACAAATATTAAATAAATATTGTAATAACCTCATAAGTTTAGATATTCCAAACTTAGAAAAAAATTCAATTAAAGACTTGATAGATTTCTTCAATCAATTATCCAAAAACTTAAAGAATCTTTCAATTATAAGTATAGGTTATGATATTAATGACAATAATACTATAAATAATTTCAAAGAGATTAATGAGAAAATTATCAACACAAGTATCATTAATTTAAAATTGAGTTGGATGATTTCTTTGGAAAATATTGAAAACTTTATTTACAATCTTCTCAATAGTGATAAAACTTTAAATTACATTGAATATTATTGTAGAGATGGTTATCAATTACACGAAATGAGATGGAAAGAATATTCCAGGATATTAAAACAAAAGAAAATAATAAAATATCTAAGAGATTTTATATTCAGAAAGAAATCTATTCCATTTGGTTATATTACATATTATAAAATTATGATTCAAATCAAATTAAATTAAAAAAAGTGGCGGCTATACACAAAAATCACATACATACTTATTATCGAACATTATGAGAAAAATTCATTTATTATTATATTATATTAAAAATTTTTTTCCTGTACATTTTATATTATATTTATTATATAATTTATATATTTATAATATTAATATTCTTTTTTTTTTTTTTTTAAAAAGGAAATAAAATTCATTCTAAAATCTTTAATTAATTCAAAATCGAAAACATTCTCAATAAGTCTATTGTTTATCACTATTTTCTAAATTTAAAAAAATTCTTGGGGTTTTGTGTACTAGCAATTAGTAACGTATATATATATTTGTAATAATTAAAAGTCACGTTATTCCCTTAATAATAAACAATAATAATAAATAAAAAAGTGGAAAAATTTTTTGAATTTGAATAATATATTTTTCTTTGGTAAAATGTCATCATATAATAATAACAATCCGCCACCATTTAGTTACTCATTTTTTAATAGTCCATTTAGAAGAAGTAGTAGAACTACCTCCACTTTCACCACTACAGATAATAATAACGCTGGTAGTAATGCTAGGTCAACTAGTACAAAAAAAAAAGAATGTATAATTTGTGTTGAAAAACGACCTCCTAAATCATTTGTGATAATTTCAAATAATTGTAATCATAATGCAAACATATGTGATGGGTGTGTTAGTAGATACATTGAAAGTAATTTAAATGATAAAGGTGATATAAATATCAAGTGTCCTTTTGGAGGATGTGGTGTAGTTTTAGATAATTATGAAATAAAAAATCTTGTTAATGATAATTTATATCAAAGGTAAAAAAAAAAAAACAAAAAGATTCATTTTTGGTTTTTCAAAAGCAAAAACAAAAAATTAAAAAATTTTTTTTTTTTAGATATGATGAATTAGCACTACGTAAAGCACTCCAACAGATGCCAGATATTAGATGGTGTAAAAATCCTAAATGCAAATCAGCTCAATCTCATGCAGGAAGTGACGCTGAGCCAATATTGACATGCAGAGATTGTGGAACTAAAAGTTGCTTCACGCACGATTCATTATGGCATGAAGGATTAACTTGCCAACAATATGATAAAATCGACAAAAATAAAAATAAGGCTACTCAAAAATATTTAGCAAAACATACCAAACCTTGTCCCAAATGTGGAGTAAGAATTTCAAAGAATGAGGGATGTGATCATATGACATGCAAAGTTCCTGAATGCAAATATGAATTTTGTTGGTTGTAAGTATAATTTACAAAATAATAATTTGTAATTTGATTAATGATTAATGATTTATGATTTGACCATTAAATTAATATTAACCAATAATAATTTATTATTAGATGTTTTGCAGATTATGAGAATATTTTTAATTATGGAAATCATTATCATAAAAAAACTTGTACTTATTATAGTGCTAATGAAGAATCTTAAATTTTTTTGGGGGGTTGGTTAGAATTTTTTTTAACATTTGTATTATTCATAGAACATTTTTTAAATTGCATATTATTAAAAGATCGTGGGTGTGTGTACTTACCGTCTTTCAAGACTTTAAAAATCATAAATTTATTAATAACAAACAATTTTATTATACTAACAATATCATTAATTAAGGTTAGGATATCAGCAGGTTATGCTTATAAATTAATTGCTAAAATTAAAGAGAAAGCATTTTAAAACCTAACAAATTTAAGTCATAAGAATTTGAAGTGATTAACCTCCATTGGTTTTTATATATTATAACACCTATATTTGACAACAGTAAAAATGACAAACCGATTAGGGAAAACTAAGAGGTTTAGCTGTTGAACAAAATTCAACTTCTATTTACATTGTAATTTATATTATCCAATTTAGCAATCTTGACCAAAACATTTATACGCCATGTATTGATAATAGCTCCATTGTAACCGAAATGTTTTAGTAAAGGCAAAACAGTCCTTTTGGGCAAAATTTAGAAAAAATAGAAAGTAATTTACTTGTGCATAACTCCATAATAACAATTATTCGATTTAACCATTTTATTAGAAGTTTGGGTGATTAAATGGAATAAAGAAATGTCATCATTTTTTTCCAAGAAGAAAACATGAATGCTGACGATTTTAAAACTGATGATTTAAAGAACTGGCGACTTAAATAATTGTGCTAAAAAACTAATGATAAAAATTGAAATATGTATTCTTCTAAATTGTAAGAAAAAATGTTGGATATTCACCGCTTTCATCAAAAATTTGAAGATTCTATCTATGAAGGAGGCACCATATATGCGTAGTTAATTATTTCAATCGCTCAAAAACTTGGATTCTGCCCTCGCTGAAAGATAATCTTCAAAATTTTCTTAAGCGAAAATTATTCACATTGGCACTGTGGGACACTATTTATAAATATAAAGAAAACCAAACGATTAGCTTCAGAGTGGTTGGGCTTTATATTGTTTCGAATCAAAAAAACAGGCCCACATATAATGCTCAAATTAATGTTAGACACAATTCAGTGCGAAAAATGTTATGCTCAAATTGGACAAAAAACCAAAAAACATTAGAAGGACCTGACGAAAATGGCTTTAATTATTGTTTATTATACTACTATCAAAAATGTTTGCAAAATAAGCCATTTAACCAAGAAAAATATCAATTAAAAAACACACCTCTGCAGCACTTGAAACCTTGCCCAAAAAATGCAAGTGGGACAATCCTTGGATAATAACAACCCATTTGCTTCAGCTAGAAAAATATCTGAGACGTTTTCAAATACTGAGAAAATTGCTTATTATCATCAGCAAATAATCAGTGAAGAAAATATCATCACCAAAACAGCCTACCGACATGGAGACAATTTCATTTCGGATATTTTACAATTTCAACAAGACCATCCAAATTTTACTAGGAAGGTTGATTTTACCAACAAAGGTGTAATCATGAATAACTTTCCAGGCATTGTTACAGATAGCATTTACAAATATTTTTCAAATGCATTCTTGTTGCCCAGGTGTGTAAAATTTTTTGAATTGAAAGATTTTAATAAAACTGACTTCATTATTCATTGCTCATTTATTTTAATTGCTCTTTATATTTCCCTCTTCTTGAAAGATGGATACCAATTTTGATAACAATAATTTTAAAAGAGGATAAGATCCACTATAAAGAGCACTTTAAATAATTATTTCAGTGGATTGAAAAAGTGAAACCAAAAATTGTATGCACAGGTTATAGATTTTAGTATGGCTGAAAAAGAGGATTCATTGATATATTCAACATAAATTGCAAAAAATCAATTTATCTTCATATTCAAAATTTCTCTTAGATTCACATAAAACTATATTGTAAAAAGAAGCATTGACCTTCTTCTTAAAAGAATGTCATGAGCATTATCAGCAATCTGTAACAAGTATTGCACGAAATAATGCAATTGTAAAACATGAAGACTCAACAAAATTTCAATCAATGGCATTAAAGCTCTTAAAAATAGATGTTGAAAATTTTTTTGAACAAGTTGGAGAGATACAAGAAAAATGGCCAAATTCCATTACCTGGTTGGAATGGTGGATATATACTGATCCGGGTAAAATCCTTTTCCTGCATTAAATGTTATGGATGAAAATTTATACAAAAAATCACCAGGTTCAACTAATGCCCAAGAATTAATGCATTCTCAGTACTATATGTGTGGAGCTACAAATCAATCAATTCTAACAGGTATTTAATAAAACAACTTAATTAACTAATTGACATTCCAAATAAATATTAACCTTAAATTTATTCCATTTAGGTCTTGAAAATCTCTTGTTATTTGTGATATCCTTGGAGGTGGATTATGAGAATAAAAGTAAAGGCCATTCTTTGAAGTATGGTGATGGAAAAAAGTTGTTGAATTATATGGCACCACAAAACCATCCCAGGGAAAGAGATCCAAAGGTGCTGGTGTAAATGATTGTAGACCATCAGACACTACTGAGGTTCTTTTGAAAAACCAGTCTTCTAAGAATAGTAACAAAGATAATGGGAATTTAAAAAAAAGTACAGAAACAGAAAGTAGTTAAACTTCTGAAAAAGTATTAATCTTATACACATTGGAGAATTTCATGTTATATACCACATTTCTTATGATTTGTTTATGGTAGTCAACTCAAATTAAATAAACCTGATAGAGACTTAAAATTATAGGACATGTAAATTTAGGTAGCAACAGTGAAAACTTTATTATTATTTTTTTATTAACAAGAGACATAACCATAATGATTAATCATAAATATACCAAATCTTTTATAACTTGTCCACAATTGAATTTTGAAGAACCCAACCCAAACACTTATTAAATGAATCATAATCAAATTGTAAATTTTGAAATAATAAAGCTTTGCAAAACATATCCCTTAAACAGTTAAATCGGCTATTGATAGCTGATAAAATTTTTCTGATATAAAAAATTTTTTCCGAGGGTATCACTTTCTAATACGAAAATGATCTCCGAGATTCAGCCGATTAATCTATAAATAAAAATCCAGTTGTTGTCCTTGTGGTTTTTGTAAAATCCTCTTTAAAAGTTGG